TGAGGCCGTTTGGAAAACGAAGACTTTTTTCGCTTTACTTTTGTTTTTTCCCAATCTCCCATGGCTAGGGAAACTAGTTGTTCCGACCCGCCTAACCAGGGCAGAGGCCAAAAAAAAAAAGCCGCCTCCATGTGTTGATAGTTTCAGTGCCCCAATTCCCGCACAGGTCAAAAGTTTGCCTTCCACATTCCATGATTCATCCTTGATTTCATCTGGCTGCCTGGATTTTCAACACAACCCAACCGCCCGGATCGTGAAAAGACCCCCAAACTTCCCAGACAGGGACAAACAGCCCGATTTTTTCCGTAGCCATGAATCATCGACGAAAGCCGAACTGCGCCTGCTCGAGCTTAATATGCTGCCACAGGAAAAGAAAAATATCCAACATGTCAGTCCCGGCGCCGTTGATCCCACCCCCGTCATCCCTCATGCAGCCAACCCCTGATCTCGTCGTCCCCAGTCACACGTGTAACCCCCGTGCAAGCAAAATCAGAACCAGCTTCCGCAGTGGTATCATATGTACAACGGCTGCCTTTTCTTTATTCCTCCCTTGAGTCCTCCAAAAGAATCCATGCCCACGGTCATCCCTAAAAGACTCGGGTATCTCATCTGCAAGGCTGGCTAGCCCAAGATGCCTCTCGACCCCCCCGTCTGGCTCTCTTCGTCAGAAGAGCTCTCTTCCTCCTCACTGCTGCTGTCTCCCTCTTGCGCCATGCCGTTCCGCGACGGGTTCGAGCCAACCCCCGATGGCGAGACATGAGCGCCGAACCCGCCGGCACCAAACTTGTTCGTGATGACGCGGCCACCCGCATTCTCCCGGCTCGACCGGGCTTCAGACCGCGTATCAGTGGCGTTGGAGACGCTGCGCTGGCGCTCAGTCCGCGACTCGTCCCCGGATGCCGATGCGTTCTCCTCCTCCTCGATGATTCGATTCTTGGGTTTCAACGTGTCTTCCTCCTCCTCTGTATCGGTGTCTTCCTCGAACACAATCGTCCGCAAGACGCTCTTATCGAACAGCTCAATGACCATTCTTCTAATCGGCAATCGATAGTGGTTGTACTCGAGCATGGCGATGATCCTCTTGAACAGCTGGGGGCTCCTAAACCCGGGGGCCTTGCGGAGCTTCAGCTGCTTCAAGTCGCTGATGGCGTGCTTGAACAGGATGATGTTGCTGAGGTCCACAATCAGGTCGACGATCCTTTGGTTCGTCGCCGCCTCATCATGCGCTGGCGGGAGCTCCTCCTTCTCCAGCGGCGGTCTCGCAGGCATCGGTGGCGGAGGCGTGAGGATCGTCTTCTGCGCATCGGGAAGCCGGATGAGCGGGGCAATTGTGTGCTTCCACGGCTTGTAAGAGAAGAAGCGGGAGAGATTGTCTGGAACGCAGAAACCGACCGAATGTCCCCTGTTATTGAGGTTCGAGTCCCATCCGCATTCCAGGAGAATCTCCAGGCCGTGGATGGAGCGCGATATGAGGCCTAGTACGAAAAAGGCAGTGCCCCGGAGACTCATCATGTCGTGCTCCTGAGCAATCTTGACGATGTCTTGAACGACGTCGCATGACTCGAGGAAGGGTGCGCCCAGCTCCATGGACCCCACGTTGCCCACCGCCCACATGCATCCCTTGACCTTGAGCAAGAGCTCAGGATCCGCAGACTGCATGCCGTAGTCCCGAATGGTGCTGGCAAACTCGGCGAAATGGCCCTTGTCCCTCAGCATCCTGCAGCCCTCCTCTGTGCGCGCGAGCTCGCGGTAGAAGTGCGGTGGCAGGTGGCTCTCAGGCTCCATGGATTCAGCTTGAGCCTGATCTACCATGCTCAACCGCTGCTGCTGCTCGTCGGCATGATCGGAAAATGCCTTGGCTAGGCTGGTCTCGATGAGGTCAACATATGTGTCGTTGCGCCCGAGAAACCAGTCATCCATCTCGTTACTGATGTAATCCAACCCATCAAGGTAGTGGTACCCGCTCGATGACGACAGGAAGCGCAGGAGAAGCGGCGCGCTCATTTCCCCCAAGTGGTCCATGGCAGGCCGACATTGGACCACGTACTCGAGGTAGGCTTTTTTGTTGCACGACTTTTCGAGGATCTTAACGGCGGTCCGACACACCTCGACGTCCGGATCATACAACTGATCGACCAGTTTCCTGATGGCCCACTTCCAGTCCACCTTGTCGTGGTTGCGGTTGGCCTCGTTGAAAGGACGTGTCGCATACTTTCTCAGTACCTTTGTCGCTATGATTCGCGTCTCTCGGGTGCCCGACGTCAAGGCCTGCTCAAGAAGGACTCTGGTGTGGCCGGGCACGGTGTAGTCGAAATTCAGCAGGAGCAGATGGATCAAATCAGGCCGCTGCTTATGCGACAGGATATGATACATCATGTTGAACATGCGCCATCGCTGCAGAAGCTCGAGACCCTTGGGGTCGCTGCTAAGGACACCCAGCATGGGAAAGTAGCCGGCGCACAGGGTGGTCTGAAGTCGATACGGGGCGAACACGGGATCTGCTGAAGTGAGGCCGCTACTCTGCTAGGTTGTCAGTTTGAGAGAGGGGGGGCAGGAAAGGAGGCGAGGGCGCCACTCACAGGGTCACACTGTGCAAGACACTCTGCCAGCTGCCTGAGTAGCTTGCTATCCCGCAAGAAGACGATACCCTCGTTCGACTGCAGGAGAGTGTGCATCAAGGCACACCCGACTCGGACGTATTTTTGTGTGTTCTTGTTGCTGCTGAGATCCGCAAATCGATTCTTGAAGGGACGATAGAAACTCATGATGCGATTCATAAACTTAGACACTCTGATCGTCTCGTCGAGTCGCTTCCCGTTCTGGAGGGGGCCATCGATCATCTTGAGAATGGTGTCCCAATCCCACTTGAGGTAGTTTGAGCTGTTGAGAACATTCGACTCGACGAGGAGTTGCCTGAAGACCGTGTCCTGAATAACGACACCCGGGTTGCCCTTTTGTTGCTCTTCGGCAAGCATGGTCAGGTTGTCGTGTGACAGGGACGCGATGCCGGGCAACCCATCGGACATCCTGTACAGAGTCTTGCTGACCTGGCTGATCTGGTAGACAATGCCCGAGGAAATAAACCGTTCATCGTCCTTGAAACGCGTCGCAGCAGTAAATAATTCGGGCAACAAAGGCAGTTGCGTGCTGGCTGATTGGGGCAGTAGTCTGCTTGCAAGCTTCAGCACCTCTCCGATGAGCAGACAGGTCTTCCTCGTCAGTGGCGCCTCGCTATTCTTGGCGACGTGAAGCAGATTGGGCAGGAGGTCGCATTTGACCAGGACCGAGAGCAACAGGGCCGTGTAGTGGTCAAGGAAACTTTGCTCCTCGACCGCCTCGTCTTCCATCAGTGGTGGTGCGCCTGAACTGGCTCCTGACGAGTTTGAGGTGGATATTGACTTGAGATTGGCCACTCTCCCGTACGTCGTCAAACGACGGCCAGCCAAGAACGAAGTGGCCCACGATGGCGGTTTGATGCGCAGGAGGATGAAGACGAGATCGACCACGGTTTCCTTGATCATGGGCTGAGGCAGGACCATACTCCGCATCAGAGACCGGATCGCTCGAAAATCGTGCATCCCCAGAACCATGAATCCCGACCAGCTCCTGAGCACTCTGGCAATGGCCTTCGAATTCTGCTTGAGCAAGCTCTCGGTTCCGGCAGTGGGGTCGGTGAAAGCCGTGAACATGACCTCGAGATCGTACCCTGAGCGTAGGTATTTTCGCTGTTGCGGATTGTCAAAGAGATACAGGAACGCGTTGGCGATCGTGTCGGGGGACTTGTAGCTGCCCTCGTTGAGTGCCTCAGACAGTGGAGGCAGCGCTCCGGACGCAATGGCCAGCGGCGGGCAACGGAGGAGGATTTCGGCAAGCGTCTCGACGCACATGGACTGCAGTCTGTCGTCCTCTTGCGCAGCTACAGCGGCTATAGCGCGCACTACCGCTCGGGAGATCTCGTTGACACCGCCCTTGACGTCGAGGAAGGCGCGCACGAATTTGAGGGCTTGCTCCCGCTCCAGATCTGCCTTGCGGTCCTTGATGAGAGAGCTGTGGCCTTGTCAGTTTGGGGTGGATTCCAAGCGAGGCTGAACACACTTACGTGATGACCAGATAATCAGTATTCAAATTTCTGATCTTCTTCAGCGTCGAGACATCTGAAATGGCGTAGCGAACCATGCGGTAGCCCGCCGCCACAACCTCTCTGGCATCGCTCAACAACATGACCTGCATTCGTAGTCCGAAGACGGGCCAGACCAGGTCGTACTTGAGACTGGGATGACGTCGGAAGAGGTCCACGAGGGCGTTTCCACGGCTGACATAATACTCGGGTCCCATGCCCTCGACTTCCAGGTCTTGCAGGATCTCAGTGAGAGAAAAGGTCGGAGACTGTTCGACAGGCTCGTCAAAGTCCGACCCAGCGCCGCTCCGCGACACGCTATGCGGCGAGCGTAAGCCATTGGCCGGATGTGCACCGGGCTCTGCCGTCCTTGACCTCGTAGGCGTGGAGGGCGGTAGCTTGACGGCCTGCGCCTCCGCTATCCTCTGCCTCAGCTCTCGAATCTTGTTGTTGGAAGCGTTGAGCTCGTTCTCGACGCGGGCCCTCTGCTCCTTGGTCTGCTTGGCTTTTTTGCTGTTGAGGGCATCCAGCATGTTCTCGCTGCCCTCCTTGATCTTCATTTCGCGATTAAGCTGCTCCCGCAGGGCGTTCAGCTTCTGCTCGGCCATGGTGGCCTCGTTCTCCTCCAGCTTTTCATTGTTGAACAGGTCGGCACGGGACCCGGCCCGGGACGAGTTCATCTGGCTGCGCAGTTCGGAGCTGAAGCTGCCTGGGGCGACGGAGGGGTTCAGAGAGGAGCCGCGGGGCGCAAAGTTGGCGGCGGAAGCGGCGAGGCTCCTGGCGCTGCTGCTCGTGGGCCCGCTCGGGGGGTAGAGGTTGCCGGTAGAGGCGCCATCGCGGTCGATGCTCGTGCGCGTGGTGTTGACGGCCGAAGGCTGCTGCTGGGAGGGGTGCGCCTTGTCCCTGGCCGTCTGGGATACGCCCAGCATGGCGATCGAACCGTCTATGGGCTCCGCAGCTTCTGGCGCGCACCCTCGCTACGTAGCATCCGGGCTGGCCTGGCGGGGGGATGGCGCGAGAGTTCGGAGACAATGGCGTCGTGTGGTCCTGTCGATCGGGATGGGTGGGATGGAGTCGGACACGCACGTGTAGGGACTCGGGGTGGGCCGGATACACTGTTTGCGTTCTGCAGAAAACGATGTCGGCTCGGCCGTCGAGAATGAGGGCGAGGGGTGCAGAGGGTGGTGCAGCTGATGGAGTGGAGAACTCGATCGTTGTTCGTTGGTCGCAGACGAATAGTGCGGTGGTGGTAGTGGTGGTGGCGAAGGTAGATACTCGAGTGACGGAGCAGACGACTTGGGAAACGAAGGAGCGCTGCGTCAACAGTCTGGACGAAGAGGCGGCGTGTGGAGTTTGCGCCCGTCGAGCAAAGATTGTGTACCTCACCCAAGACAAGCAGAAGAGGGGAGGGGAATGTGGTTCGAGATGGCGGTAGCTGGTGCAGCCGCTCGCTTGCGTAACGTAGGTAGGTATCTTTGGCGTCGTGGTGTTGGATGAGGTAGGTGGGAGGTAGGTGGGAGGCAAAGGTGCCTAGCGCCCGTGTTCACTGTCCAGTATGCACCTGCTGCGACCGCGGCCGCGAGACCAACTGGGCTGGGGGCTGCACTGGGGGAGGAGCAACGCCTGCCACGTTGGGGCAAGGATGGCAGCCGCTTTGCCTGTCTGGCAGACGCTTTACCTGTCTGGGCCAGCGAGCGAGTGTGTTCCCTCCCCCCCCCCACCACCTCCACCTGGCTTGGGTGTGTGAAGTGCGCTGAAGCCCAGCACTGGCCTGGCCGAAGGTCCGCTGGCCCTCGGCAGAGATAAGGTTGAGATAAAACAGTGCGATAGCGATAACGAACACCAGCAGGTCTGCCTCAGCTCCGTCTGTCAGAAGACTCATGGCGGGCGCCCCCTTCTGAGCCTCCATGCATCACGACTGAGAGGGATCGGGGGCAGTGTGGCGCTCTGCTATCAGGTTGACGGTCGATGATCGGTTGCTTCGCATCTTGGCCTGGCGACAATCACGGCGTTCAGCGTGGTTGCGGAGAGGGCTATGTCGAGACCGGATGGAACGTGAAGCATGTGTGAACCAGCTCTGTTTGGCTTTCTTTTCTACCAGGTCAAATCAAACAAGGTGCCTTATGTTGCGACTTTCTTGTCTCTCGAATCATGACAGCTTTCTTTGTTCGGGAGAGCATCCCTTTCACCCCATCCCCATCCTGGCGACGTCGAGAAGTCTGACACCAGTTCGGCTCAGACGACAACCATCGAGACGGAACCACCATCCTCGGGCGGCGCCGAGTCCCAGGGCTCCGATCCATACGGCCCCGATACTCATAAAACTCTGTCACGTTGGTCGAGCCAGACGGAGATGCAGCAGGCAGAAAATCGTCAGATGGCGGTGCCCCTCTTCGGCCTTCGCTTTTAGAGCTTCAGAGGCCGAAGCATCTCCAATGGCCCCCCCCTTCGAGGCCACAAGACCCTCACATGCAGGCGACATGGTCGTCCACCACGAGATGCAGCCCTTTTCACCAGTGGCTGACGGCCCTGGGTCCCCTGAGGCCCAGTCGGGATGCGCGCGACGCAATGGCGGGGCTCTGCGCGCGCCCCGCCATCCTGGAGCTTCGTCCAGAGGGTATCGGCGGGCTCCGGCGCGCGACACTAGGGTGAGACCACCGACACCCCGACAAGACCCCTCCATGATGGGCCTCGGACAGAGAGAGAAAGAGAGCCCTGGCGCGAGCGATGCTTCGTGGGGGACCGCGACCAGATGGCGCGGGATATATAAGATAGATGCACTGCGTTTCCCCCCCTTCTCGTCTGGTGTGCTGGATCTTTGACCTCTGCCGCCTCTTGCCGCGCTGTTCTTATCATCGTGCATTGCATTGCCTCTAGCTCGCGTCTTACTCCGAATCCCTTCTCCAACTCGTGCCTCGCTCGCCCTGGCCTTTCCCCACGACGACTGCCCCTCATTGCTTATCACCCCGCCGCTACCTTACGACCACCTGCCAGACCTCGGTGCCTCTGCGACTACAACTAGGACCAGTCGCCCCCTCCCTCTCGACCCGTCTTTCCTCCCTACCGTAGGAACCTACCTAACAACAACTATCTCTCGTATCCCGACTTTCACCAAGCTCATCCATCATGCCTGTCCTCGCTTCTGCCCGCTACGGCAAGGATAATGTCCGCGTCTTCAAGGTCCAGAAGGACGGCCCCGTGCAGACCGTCACCGAGATGACCGTCTGCGCTCTCCTCGAGGGGGCCATTGAGACGTCGTACACCGTCGCCGACAACTCAGTCGTCGTGGCCACCGACTCGATCAAGAACACCATTTACATCAAGGCCAAGGAGCATCCCATCAACCCGCCGGAGCTCTACGCCTCCATCCTCGGCACCCACTTCCTCGACACGTACGCCCACATCTCGGTCGCCAACATTCGCGTCACCGTCCACCGCTGGACGCGCCTCGACGTCGACGGCAAGCCGCACCCGCACTCGTTCCTGCGCGACGGCGAGGAGACGCGCACCGTCGAGGCCCGCGTCACCCGCGACGGCGTCGCCCTGACGAGCGGCATTCAGAAGCTCACCGTCCTCAAGTCGACCGGCTCGGCCTTCCACAGCTTCGTCCGCGACGAGTACACCACCCTGCCCGAGACCTGGGACCGCATCCTCTCCACCGACGTCGACGCCTCCTGGACCTGGACCTTCCCCGAGGGCCTCGCCGCCGTCGAGAAGGACGTCACCCGCTTCGACGCCGCCTGGGACGCCGCCCGCGCCATCACCCTCAAGACCTTTGCCGAGGACGAGAGCGCCAGCGTCCAGAACACCATGTACAAGATGTGCGAGCAGATCCTCGACGCCGCCCCCGAGACCAAGACCGTCTCCTACGCCCTGCCCAACAAGCACTACTTTGAGATCGACCTCAGCTGGCACAAGGGCCTCAAGAACACGGGTGCCGATGCCGAGGTCTACGCCCCGCAGTCTGGCCCCAACGGCCTCATCAAGTGCGAGGTCGCTCGTTCGTAGCGCGGACGGCGTGTGCCTGGTGTGAGTTTACTTCTTCTTGTTCTTTTTTGGGGGGGGATTAGAGAGATATACCTTGGGTCCTGTGCATTTCCGGGCGTCTTTTGGAATATGGAGCCGTGGCAGATCTGTCTTCGGCGTAGATGAAATAAATCAATCAATCGAAATCAATAAATAGCCTTGATCATGTGTAATTGATAGGAGATCTGATCGATGTGAGCTTACTGTCATGTTACGAACCTTTGTGCACACAGCTTTGCGCGGAGACCCCGTTATTTGTGACCAGGAACCGACTCCCAGGGCCAGCCAGAACGTCTGCCCACAACACTACTGACCTGGGTTCGGTCAAACTCGGGACACCAACAAGTCAATTTTCGTGAAAGCAGAATATTTGCTGATACAGCTCATAACATAGACCTCTCGCCATGCTTGGTATGATGATACAGAGTATACACGGCAATGCCTTGAAACACCTCCCCCCCAAAAGAAAAACGCAAGGCTCTCGACGAATCGTCCTCGTTCCCCCTCCGCGGACCAAGACGCAGCCCTACACCCTCTTCAGCCCGTCCTCGCGAATCGCCTTGGCGGCCTCCTCCCATCCCGTCTCCCCAACCTTGACATCGCCGAACCGAATGACGTTCTGCTTGTACGGGTGCGCGTCGCCCTCGAAGGCCTTGAGCCGCGCCAGCCTCTTGTCCCTGAGCCTGTTCTTCGGCAGCATGCCGCTGACGGCCTTGCGCAGCACCTCGGCGCCGCCGTGCTTGGCCATGAGCACGTCCATCGTGACGCTGCGCAGCGAGCCCGGCCGCGTCGTGTGGCGGTAGTACGTCTTCTGCCACATCTTGCGGCCCGTCACGTGGAGGGCCGCGCAGTTGGTGACGACGACGTAGTCGCCGCAGTCGGTCGAGGGGTCCCATGTCGGCTTGTTCTTGCCCATAAGGAGCACGGCGATGCGGGAGGCGAGGCGCCCGAGGGAGGGGGGCGTGACGGAGGCCCGCCTCGATAGGGTTGGGTGCGGCGTCGAGCGGAGATTTGATGCAGACGCGGGAGTAGGAGAGCCGCGTCTACGTTGGAGAAGGTCAGCAAAGGG